AGTTTCTTTTCCGCCGCTTATTAATATGCTTAAGTTCAGCGGGTAATCTTGCCTGATATCAGGTCCAATTGAGATGCATACCGAAGTACACAACATTTCCCAAATGGATCGACCCTCGGCAGCCGAAGCCGCCACTCTACTTCGCAACAGCAAAGCCGATTCAAATGCCAAGCTAAAGAGCCATGGTTCACCAGTCCATCACGCCACAGCAGGAAAATCACCCAATAAGCGCATTGTTCAGCCGAAGCCAACCATACCACGAATCGAGCATTTCTCCATTAACGCCGCAGCAGACAAACCGGTCGCCAACTCGCTACAATAGCAGCGTCCACAACCAGCAATGCCACCACTTTTGGAGCAAAGAGAAGTACAGTTTAGTACATTTAAAAGGACTCGCAGTCGGTCCGAAAACCAACCGCAAGACACTTCACATCTGGCATCTCCTCCACCGACTACACGGAAGGAAGAAAGCCAAGTTTGTTGTACGGACACTGATACAGGCATACTTCCAGGACTAACCCGGAAGTGCAATATGCGTTCAAAATTTCGATGACTCACTGAATCCTGCAATTCGCATTACGTATCGCAGTTCGCAGCGTTCTTCATCGATGTGCGAGCCTAGACATCCACTGCTGAAAGTTGCTATCTAGTTAAAAGCAGAGACTTTCGTCCCCACAGTATAATCAGTATTAAGTAAAGTGTTTAAAATAAAAAAGCTACTAGCTCAGACCCGAAGTCCAAACGCTCGCCTTTTGATAGGGCTCGCCCAGCAGTAGCCGCCAGCAATAAAGCCAGCAGCCGCCGCCAAGTAAGACCCCCAACTATTGGTTTGAAACGGTTCACGTGGAAAGTTTTTAGGTGTGGTAATGATCCTTCCGCAGGTTCACCTACGGAAACCTTGTTACGACTTCACCTTCCTCTAAATGGCGAGGTTTAAAAAAGTTCCCATCAATCCACTCGCAATAAAGCAAACAGACTCACGGTCCCAATTTTTCACCGAGTCATTCAATCGGTAGGTGCGACGGGCGGTGTGTACAAAGGGCAGGGACGTAATCAATGCAAGCTGATGACTTGCGTTTACTAGGAATTCCTCGTTCAAGACTGAAAATTGCAACAGTCTATCCCTAGCACGATGCGCATTCACAAGATTACCCAGACCTATGGCCCATCGCCACGCATTCGAGGCAGTAGACCGAACACTGCGGAACATACTTGACAACGATACCGAGCCTTTTGGGGGGAAAGTGTTTGTACTTTCGGGAGATTTCCGCCAGATTCTCCCGGTCGTTAAGAATGGAACACCCGTCGAGACAATTGACGCTTGCCTCAAGTCGTCTAGGCTGTGGCCCCAATTTCAGACGTTCCGTCTTACGGAAAACATGCGAGTGCGCACAGCTGATACTGCAGACACTGCTGAGGAAATGGCTGCGTTCTCCGAGTTCCTGCTGCAAGTCGGGGAGGGAAGGCATGATGTAAACCCTTCTCTAGGAAACGATTACATGAAGATCCCGCGCGATATGCTGATTGAGAATCCACCTGTGCCTGAGGATGAGGACCAGGAAATTCGTCCGGGCGTTATTCCAAGAGGCATGGATCGGATCATCGACGAGATGTATGGCGAGATTAATAACCCCGAGGTTGCTACCGACGAGTATTTCGCTAACCGAACGATCCTCACGACCACGAACGCAATCGTGCACCGCATCAATGAAGCGGTGACCGATCGATTAACTGGACAGGCGCGGGAATACATGTCTTCCGATTCTGTACAAGACGACGGTGATGGCAATTTCTTCGAGCAGGAGGTACTCCACTCGATGAATATCAGTGGAATGCCGCCCCACAAGCTGACCCTCAAGGTAGGAATGCCTATCATGATGATGCGGAACCTGAATCCAGATCTAGGGCTGTGCAACGGAACACGGCTTCGAATTGTGGCCCTCAAGCCACATGTCATCCACGCCACAATCATGACCGGTGAGCGACAAGGGCAACATGTGTTGATTCCCCGCATTGTTTTCATCAGTGACGGAGACATTCGGAGCTTTCCGTTTCATTTGAGACGCAAGCAGTTTCCTGTCCAACCGGCCTTTGCGATGACGATTAACAAGGCGCAAGGACAAACGGTGCAGTACTTGGGGCTGTATCTTGCTACGCCTTGCTTCTCCCACGGGCAGCTGTACGTTGCGATGCCGCGAGTTACTTCAAGATCAAGATTCAAGGCGCTGGTCGAGTACCCAAAGCTGGAGGAGGAGGATGGGGTCTACGCCCAGAATATTGTCTACAGACAGATCTTTGGTTCGGAGTAGGAATGTTCAACTTCAAATGCACTAGCCGTTCGCCGCCGCTACGCGGCGGAGTGGCATGGTTTGTTGGAGATGCGGTGGCCGCAGATTTAAATGCCTCTTGGTGTCGCGTGCTTTGTGAGCGTCGTTCACCCCAGTAGATCTTGGATTCGTGTACTTAACTATTTACCATTCCGTAGTCTCATGCGGACCCGTATAATATCGTTGTTTGGTACGCTTCCGTTACCCCGTACTACAGGTTGGATGTCATGTTCGACAGTGGTCGGCGCTCTTCCGTGATCTTTCTGGCTTCGTGGATACCTGCCCACCGGTGACCCACGCTGCTTATTGGTTATACGACCTCTCTTTTGGAATCATACTTGTTAGTACGGCCTCTTTCGTGGCCGTTGGCCTCCCATCGCTGGTACTCTGGCCGAAGAGTGCTATTCCGTGGTTTGGCGCATTCACGCAGTCGTATTATTCCATCACTCGTGTATCGTGCTCTCCTGGTGAGGTCCATCGACCCGCGGTATCACAAAATCAAGCAATCGCGGGTCTAGTTGTGCTGTCCATGGGATGTGCTCGCGTAGTGCACCTGCGTTGCACGGGCCATTGGGTTTTTGCAATGGAATCCGAGTGCCATAATGTGGAATCGTGGATCCCCCCTAAGAACACCCCTCCGGTTATTTCAGGGGATGGTCCCGAGTCCCGTGGGAGTC